GCTTCGCTGCTTGTTCCATGATTCCACTCACACATGAGCCTATTATTTGGCACTGTATCCAATGCATTTAAAAGTCCATGTATATTATAACCATTGGCTTACCCTTGTCTTTGCCTTCTGTTAGTCTTTCAAAGGCCAAACATGATCTTTCCGTTTTAATCCACATTGATTACTTGGCAGATTTTTGGTCAGCTAGCTCTCTGTACCTGCTTGAAAATCACTGACTAGTAATTCAGTTTTTTATTTGTTAACTACTATTGTTGTTGTTGCCACATTTGCCGCTCTTACTCTGTTTCTTTTAAATATTGTCCGTGTGTGGTTTATATGAGCTCTTGTTTGTGTTTTTTCAGTTTTATGACGACTGTGATTTCTTCTCTTTTTGTACAATCTTTGGGACATTTAAGGAACTGAGGAGCAAGATACCTGACTTTAAAAGGGGTGGCTTTACAAAGTTTGACTTGTCAATATTCTATAAACAAGTTCCACTGCCTGTGATTGGCAAAGAAATATATGTTTTTGTAACACCAGTTGGAATTTATCCATGTCAAGTTTGGAATTAAGAATACTCTGAATTTGAGTATTTGTAAAAAAAAATTTGCTGGGAAACAGTTTGAAATTTTGTTTTGCTATTTCAGTTTTATATATTTAATAGTTTCTCCCTCTCTTCTTCCCCCTCACCACCACCAACCCCACTACCATTTTTGTGTCATAAACTTGCAGTTCTTTTGTTAAATATATTTTGCAGCTTGGCATGAATGCTTCAGTGACTAACCACCACAAAAACCAATCTCAAAAAATTAAGCAGGTGATCTGTGAACCCAGGTTTCACTCTGATATCCGACTTAAGTAATTCCATCAGCCATGATCAATAAAATTGTCTTATTTTGTGTGTCCAGCCTCTCATCCCCATCACTGTCTGACTCAGGAATCCACAGGACAGAGGGAGGTTAAAAGTGGGCATGTAGTGACAGTGTATAGTTATGTTCTCTCTTTCATTCTTTTTTCCTGGGCTGTGACAAGAGATTTAGGAGAATTGCATGTCAAATGAGCATTTTATTGATGTTGAGATCAAAGGTTGTATTTTCCAACCAATTCCTGGATGACAGAACAAAATTCTCGCTTGTGAGCTGCGAGAGGCTTATTAATAGGATCATTGCTCATTTTCATCCTCATTACGACTTAATCTCACCTCATCCATGCACAATCTCCCAGCCACCAGATGGAAACTAGAAACCAAGAGTTTCCAATGTGAAAGTTAGAGCAGGTACCTGGTGAGTCTGGGTCTCTGCTCAGTTCTCTGGACCTCCATTTTTGAAACCAGACACAAACATGTCAGGGCACGCTTCATGGGTGTGGCTGCATGACCACGGATGTTGTCATCTGACAGGTCAGCCGCACCAGTCCCACACAGCACATCTCCGATCCATTTGCAGTACACTTCTGCACTTTAATGTTGCGCTGTGGAATTTCCACTTGTTCACAAGGACAGGTACCCAGCTCATAGAACAGTCCGGGCTACATATCAGGGCTGCTCACTTGCTCGCTTCACCCTCATTCACTTTGCACTACCAGCTTGCTCGCAGCATCTCAGCCTTGCCTTGCATATTAGCACTTTCCGCTCTCCCCAGCTACACTTTGAAGGCTCACAGTACTTCTGTGTTGCCTTGCAGTTTCGAGCTGACAAAGCCAGGCAGTTTGTTATGCTTGTTGGCATTTGCCACTCAAGCAGGTGGACATGGTGCTGCATGACACAGGGCTCCATCAATCCTGCACTTGCACCCAGGTGCCAGCCAAGTTCATGGGCAAACACAATGCATGTGCCACAAGCAGATGCCCATGTCTCAAATTCTAAGAACACTCCTTGGTAAAATCAAGGGAGACCGCTTTCAGTCAGGGGATCCCAGCTCCATAATCTGGAGCAATATCCACTATCAGTCCAGGGGCTTGGACATGGTCAGGCTGCTTGGAATGGTCAGGGTTGGGGTCCTATCATTGTAGTGTGTGAGGAGCTGAATGTTGAGCATCCTGCCACCTCTCTTAGCTCATTCTGCCCTTTTGTCGGCTGTTTTTCTCCTGCTGCTGCAGGTGAGCTAAAGTTGGATAGGTGCCCAGAGAGAGTGAGTAGGAGGCACAGAGGCCTGGTAGTGTTTGTAATGTGAGAGCTTAGAGAGGTTGAGAGTAGGTGAAGGATGATGTTGCGTAAAATTTAGAGAGTGGAAGAGCATGAGCCTTTGTGGAAGATGGATGTAGTACCAGAGGCAGAGTGAGTGCGAGACAGCAGAAAGGAGATGGTAGCACTTACTGTACTGGAGCAAGAAAAGTCAGTGTTGCTGCATGACCCTCCAAGTGGTTGAGACCAGGGGGCAACCTCTGACAGAGCTGGCAGAGTCTGGTATTGTGGCCCCCTCTGGTATTCTGGGAGAAGAGAATGGTCCTCCTCTGCCCAACCATGTCTAGCAAGACCCTGTCCGCAATGTGGCAGGACAATTCCCCTTACCTGCCATGTCCAGTGTCAATGTCGTGAATGATGTAGCGCAGCTCCTTACTGCCAGCACTTGACTGGTGCATAACAGCCGTTTTAAAGATGGCACCAGCATCTTTGATCCCAGAATATCCTGTAAGTGACAAGTGAGTGAATAAGGTTGGCTGTGGGCAATGGGTACACCACCACATAGGCATGGTAGTTAATGAAGCAAATTTGGGGTCATTGCACATGCAAACCTATTGTCCTCTTGGAGAGAAACATTCCACAAAGCTCAGTATAAACGACATTTGGCCAAAATATGGGAAGGTTCAGCCCACTGTTCCATCTAGCTTGCTCCACATAATTGTAAGCAACGCTCTGTAATGGACACACAGAAACAGACACACAGACACACAGGGTGAGGGGTGTTGAGATTTTTTTGCATACACTGTGTTAGGTGATCTTCAATTTATCACTGAAACCCTATGGTGTAGAAGCAGGCCATTCAGCCCAAGGAATCCATGCTGACCCAAGGAAGAGTTACCCCTCCCTCTACCCTATCCCCATAACCCAGCATTTCCCATGGCCAATCCACATAACCTGCACATCTTTCGAATGGGAGGAAACCAGAGCATCCGGAGGAAACCTAGGCAGACATGGGGAGAACGTGCAAACTTGAGTCACCCAAGGTTGGAATTGAACGTGGGTCTCTGATGCTGTGGGGCAGCAGTGCTAACTACTGAGCCACTATGTCACCCATTTGTCATAATAATGTTGAAAACAATTTGACTTAGGCAGCTTCATTTTTTTTGGCATCTTCTCCAACTCGTGGCCCTAAATAAAATGGCCTGAAAGCTAAATTTTGTTTTGCAGTTGATGAATTGTAGCTCATGACTTTCTAGGGATGGGTTGATTTGAGCGGATATATGAGCTTGCACGTGAGTGACCCACATCTAAAGCTGCTTGCATTGAAAGCACAAACCTTTTGAAGAGGAAGCAACTCCACTGCACCAGTTGTTTCGAACTCTTAAGCAGTATTACTGACATACAGCCAATGGCATTCTTTCTGCTTCCCTCATGTTAGAATAAAATCATAGGATCATGCAGTGCAGAAAAGTTAATAACTTCAATAGAAACTGTGGACTTGGCCCAGCCAGTTATATGTTTCACCTACCTATATATTTGAAGCTAAACTGTAGACACAGGATAAAGCTAAAATGGACAGTTTATGCTGGGCTTAAGAAAAGAGCTTTTTATCCGAACATTGTGTTCTTCATGGACCTCTGCCAAGTATTAGCATTCCAAGAAGACCCTTCTTGCCAAATCTTGCTAGACATAAGCAGGGGGAGTGATGTGGCTATTTATTAAGAGCAGTGGGGCTGCATTCAGGTTTATTACATCTGCTAAACATTTGAGCAAAACACCAGGAGGAATAAGTATGCTGCAACTTTAAAACTATTGCTATCATCGTTATTTCTGTTTTGGTTTAACTAAAAACCCTTTCCTGTTCAAATGGAGTGAACTAGATGCCTGCTCCAGTAGTCTGCTATCAGAGTATGTTGTGGTTCAATTGTTTAGTAATATTGTGGCCATAAGAACTTGTTTACATCCTTTCCTAACACTAATGTTTTAGTTTCTTCCACATTCTGCTCAATACTATGTCTGACTCTCACCCAAGATATCAGGGTCACTGGGATTTGGGAATGAGTCTAGCTACGTCACTGTACTTTGCACTGACTGTCATTTCATTTTTAACCAGTTGAAAGGTTTAAGGACTTTAACCTGTAAATATTAGCACAGACATATTTTCTGTCTGTAATACATTTTAGTCTGTTTGCATGTTAATGTCTAATGTCCTCCAGTCCTTCCTCAAGTTTCTAATCGCTGCCCTGCATGAGGAAGAGACTCAAAACCACACAAGAGCAAAGCTTAAGTTGGTGTCACTGTATTTTTGGTGCTTCATAAACACACGAGTAATGAAAATTAAAAAAAAACAAAGAACTGTGGATGCTGGAAATCAGAAACAAAAACAAATTGCTGTGGGAAGAAAGCAGACTTAATGTTTCAGGTCCAGTGACCCTCCTTCAGACCTCATGTTCTGAATTTGCCAGGAATTTCTGTTTTTCTAACTAAATATGAAGTCTGATTTGCCCTTAGTTGCTGTAATTTAGCAACAGTAAATGCTGCATGCAAGAATATCTGAAACTGCATTATGTCAGCAATTGCATTGATGTAAGACAAGGATTTTACTAACATGTTCCCTGGTTTGGTAATAATCCTGTACCTTTTAAGTTCTGTGTTACAAACAGATCATAATGTTTGAAATAGTTCAGAAAACCATAATGATTTGCAGCAGAATTAAGTGATGGGCGATTACAATTTCAATGCAACGTTCAAAGTATTGCAAGCTTTACAATTCCCAGGGTAGCCAAATAGTGTACTGCTGTAGTTAAAACAAAGAACTAGTCAATAGTAGAGGAAATGCCAATATTATGATTCTCATTTGTTTTAATATCCAGTGCCTTTTGTTCAATAGGTTTTCCACCAGTGTATTATACCCTTTTTGCTCTGATGAATGAAAGAGACCGGTGTTGGTATCCTCCAAACCATGTCTTTGACATTGATGACTCTGCAGATGTAGCCACCATTTTTCGACTAAGGTAGGTTGAAATCTCCAAGTATTAATATCAATAGTCAATATTGTTTGCTGTCAAAATACAAAAGCTCTCTTTTCAAGGATCTCTTGCAAGTTTGTCATTGTTTCTTTTGAACATGTTTCTTAATATTCTCACTAGGTTAGTGACTAGAACTTGTATAACGTGAACTATGTACTGTCTATCTGAAACCTATTCAATTATATGTTGTACAGATGACAATGAGGGTCCACTTTTTATTCTTTTTTTTTCTTTCTTGGGATGTGGGTGTCACTGGCAAGGCCAGTATTTGTTGCTTATCCCACTGAACCTTGCATTGAGTCACTTACTCAGCCATTTCAGTTGATATTCTAGAGTTGACCACCTTTTGCTGGGTAAGGAATGAACCAGATAAGCTTTTACGACTGTCAGGAGTTTCATGGTGGCTTTTAGTTCAACTGTTTTTTGTTCCTGAAACTAAATGTAAATTTCAATCATTCATATGTTCTGATTGCTGCTAATTCAAGGTGCTTTCATTATGAGGCCATCAATTAATTCTGTCTCATTGCACAATACCACTTAATATGTTTTGGCTCACAAGTTTTCCCAAAAAAAGTAATATATCTTTCATCTGATTTATATGTACGATGTGTGAGGTCTTTTGTGCCAACAGTGCCTGAATGACTTTGACAATGAGAAAGACAACTGAATCTAAAGGGTTTTTATGCAGGTTAACCCCTTTGATTCAATGGTATGTTTCTCTTAAGCAAATGCACAATTAAATATGAAAAAGTAAAATACTGCGAGAAGTCTGATGTATAAATAGAAAGTGAACCGACTACTTCCATTGGTTTTAAGCACTTAAATCACAACATTTAAGCACATTTGAGTTAGAAGTTCCTTAGCATGTAATATAATTCAAATAAGATCATAGAATCTTCAGATCTCTGTTCCACTCAACAATAGCTTGTTACTCCACTTGTTACTGTTGAGTCTAGGCCCACATTCCTGACATGAGAGTTTTGAGTATGTGATGCAGTGTTGAATATTGGGGTATAGTTTCTACTTTGGGTGTAATTTAAAACTTTGATGCGCATTCAATTCGTTTTGAAAGTGCTGTTCTCCCCCTCAGTCCCACCTTGGATTTCCATTCAAAGTCACTTGTGTATCACTTGGTGTAAAATTGGCCGCACAGCAGTATAATTGGACTGCACTTAACAGGTAATCTAACAAGGAAAGAGTTCCTGAAAAAAATTCTTGATGTTAAGGAGTGATTTAAAAACAAAATTTAATACAGTTCAAAATCAGTTTTTTTTAAAACGATGTTGAACTGAGCTATTTAAATCCAACTGGACGCTTTACTAGTTCCGTGACAATTGAATCATAGAATCCCTGCAGCGTGGAAACAGGCCCTTCGGCCCAACAAGTCCACACCAACCCTCAGAGCACCCCGCCCAGACCCATCCCCCTATAACTCATCTAATCTACACATCCCTGAACACTACGGGCAATTTAGCTTAGCCAATCCACCTAGCCTGCACATCTTTGGTCTGTGGGAGGAAACCGGAGCACCCGGAGGAAACCCATGCAGACACGGGGAGAATGTGCAAACTCCACATAGACAGCCGCCCGAGGCCGGAATCAAACCTGGGTCCCTGGCGCTGTGAGGCAGCAGTGCTAACCTCTGAGCCACCATGCCGCCTTTTAACCAAACTTACTAGTACTGGATCTTTCGATTCCGCACTAGCGTTACGTAGTTTCTTTTGTGACAAGGGCTAAAATGAACATTACCACATCAACTTAAGATACCTTGCTGGAGATATTTTTAAAAAAAAACACATCCCATGACAGTCCACGTATTGACACCAAAACACTATCCGGGATGTCGATAAGGTGTATGGAAGAGTGAGTGAAATGCAAGCTGAGGTTCTGTCTTGGTATGTATTGCAGCAGCTGAAGTGCCAGCCAAGTATTACAGGTAGGCAACTCATACCTTTATCAAGCAATTGTACCCTAACTCCATATCTCACTACTTACTTTCACAGGATGCCATTTGAAAGATACTTTAAGTGACAGTCCTTGTGATTCCATCTCAATACACCACCAGTTTTTACTGGCCATTACAAGTGTGGATGAATCACATTCACATGAACATTCCCACTAAACGTGGTGGGGGCTGTTCTGCATATTTGGAATCACTGATATTCATTTGTTTAGGTGAGAGATGGTCAGAGTTCAGAAAGTGAAACAATCCTTTAGTGCTGGTGGATGTTGTATACAGTAATTTGTGGACAGTATTTATTTGACCATTTAAGCTTAATTGACTGACAATTTAATCAAATTGCAAAAGTGATCCTTTCTATTTTCTCTCCGCAGATTCTACTTTCCACATTGGTACAGTCCTGGAAATAATAGAGCCTATCGTTATGGAGTTGCCAAGGGTGCAGAGAGTCCCTTTATTGATGATACCATCATGACATACCTTTTTGCTCAGGTAAAATGTGCTATATGTTTTGGCTGACTTATTTCTGCTTTACTCGCATTCCTAGCTACAAGCGCTGTGTTGGAACTGAGATTTACTGCATTGATACACATTGAACTGCTGTTGATTTATCTTTTGTACACCGTATAAATGTTTTGATTGTATAATTAAATTTAACTTTTTGGTGTTGAGCACTTTATTGAGCCTTTATTATTTGTCCAGCTAAGTGACACTAATGAAAAAAGCAATGACTTTCGACTAACTCAACAGATTCGTATTACAACTGTGGAAATGAAAACTCAGTAGAAATCCTGTCTACCCTGTCATGAAAATACATACAACTTAAAAGGAGTAGGCTATTTAGCCTTGAGCCTGCTTTGCCATTCCATTAAATCCTGACTGATCTGATTGTGGCTTCAATACCACTTTCTTAAGTATTCCCAATACTGTTTGATTCCCTTGTTACTGGACAATCTGTCTACCTCTGCCTTGCCTCAATGTGCACTGTGGAAGAGATTTTTAAAGTTGTGTCCCCTGGTTCGAATCTCTCCCACAAGGAGAAACATGCTTTCAGCATCTATCATGTGAAATCCCCTCAGAATTGTACATATTTCAATAAGTCTCTTATTCTTCTAAACTCCAGGAAGTAGGCCCAGTCTTTCCAGCCTCTCCTCTCGAAACGCCCTCATCCAGAATCAGAAGCGTGACCCTCCTTTTGAACTGTACCTATCTTAAGGAGACCAACCTGTATTGGTACTCTAGACATTGTCTCCCCAATAGCCTGCAGCAAAATATCTGTACTTTTAAATTTCATTCCCCTTTTAATATAAAACCATCTAAGTTGAAAGCTGCATGAAGCTACTGGTTTGCAGTGTGGGAAATCTGGACAGGTGGTTTGCAATGCAGAGAGATGCCAGCAGCATGGGTTCAATTCCCATGCTGGCTGAGGTTACCTGAAGGACTCCCCTCTTCAATTTCTTTCCTCACCGGAGAAATGGTGAGCCTCTGGTTAAACCAACACCAGTCATTTCTGTCTAATAAGATAGCAGCCTCTGGTCCAGTCGGATGATGGCGACTTTACCTGTACATAATGAGTAACTCTATGAAAATATATGTTTGCCTTAATTCATTAAAGTAAGATGTTGTACAGTCATTTCTTTTGACTGAAAATAGTAATGGCTCAAACAACTTTAGAAATTTACAACAAAGATTCAGCTCTCTGTGTGGACTGACCTCAAGAATGACATCTTGTATTTTTTGAGATGCATGTTTTATTTTAGAAATAGCTGAGAGGACTCCACTGCTGTCAAGAGAATTTTATTTTTGTGAACGGAATTTTCACAGCAATACTATACCAACCATAATGGTGTGTCAGCATGGTTCGGTCTGGTTAAATCTAACGCTGAACTGACCTAGAATTGTGCTAAGCTGCTGAGTGACCAAATTTTAGTTTGTTCTGTAGACCTTGGAGTTTGGTAGTTCTGATCTTCAAAAACAATATGGTGGTGTTCTCGTATATTGAGATGAAAACGTCCCAATAAAATGGCACCAAAAGTTACTTACATGTTAGTAGATCATAGAAGGTCATTGAATAGATTGTAAAAACCCTACAGTGCAGAAAGAGGCCACTTGGCACATAGAGTCTGCGCTGATCCTCTGCAGAGCATCCCACCCAGGCCCAGGCCCCTACCCTAACCACATAACCCTGCATTTTACCATGGCTAATCTACCTAACCTGCACATCTTTGGACTGTACGACAAAACCGGAGCATTCAGCAGAAACATGCATAGACACATGGAAAACGTACAAACACCAAACAGACAGTTACCCAAAGCTAGAATTGAACGTGGGTAGCTGTCACTCTGAGGCAACATGGTAGCCACTGATCCACTGTGCCGTCGACTACTGCTGCCATTTGTATAAGAGAAACAAAGTCAAAATTAGTTTTGATCTGTTAGCTGCAAATTTTAAGTGTATGAGAGGGAGCAGACTAACCGAAGTAGCAGCTTGTGATGAAATTCTTTCAGCCCACTTACATTTAGTATGCAGTCGGAGTTGTGGGAGTTAATTTCCCTTGTTCTCCTAAGGTCGCAGGACATCCAGCAAGAAGCACAACGACATCCCTGACTAGAAGAATGCCCTGCACACTATTAGAACTAAACAAGGGATATCCTTCAACTCTCAACTAAAGTGGGTTTCAGCCTTTGCAAAGCTGTCCCTGTTCTATACGCTTCAGTGGCTTGTGCAAGCTACATTGAGTTCTGAGAAGCACCAGATAAAATGACCAGCAGTGCTTTTGCAGGATCCAACCTCCGCCTCCTCTCCCATGTCAGCTTGCCCAGTGCACTAATCACTGAAAACCATCTCTGCAGGGCAGGATATGCTCAGCATAAGATGCCCAAAGCAGCTACTGCACTTAGAAGTCAAGATCCCAAGGGGACAGTGGAAGTACTTCAAGAGATGTCCTCAAAGCATCCCTGAAAAGGTCAAATATCTTCACCATCTCATGGGATTCCTTGACTGGCTAAAATGAAGGAGGCAAAAATGGGTAACACTGGGAATGGCTTTGGCAAAACGGATGAAACCTATTCTGGTGTATTTGGGAATTCTCCACCACTTTCCCAACCTCAGCAATGCCAAAATCCTGGGGTAAGGCGGGGGGGTGTCAAGAATTGGTCTCACTGCATCTTTACGAGCTTCATCCACTCTGGAATAGCACTATTAAAGCCTTTAAATTATTTTCCAGAATTATTGAGCTAGCTAAAAACTTATAATGTTACGACACACCGTTGGTAAGCCAGACCAAATCAGCATCCCATCACTGAGTTTGCAACACAGTGAAATTAAAACAGTTGATGACCCTCAAAATTGTTCAAATGTTCCCAACCAGATTTTATAAATAACTAGCCTTGTGCACCAAGTTTATAATTTAAACAACATTTTATTATCAATAATGTGATGTTAGCAGAACACAGATGAACTACAAGACAATTTAATTAACATCTATGACCTAAGCCCAGTATTCTTGAATCACCAAGCCCTACTTGCATACTGACAGACAGAGTTAAGAAATAAATTAAACAAAACTAAAGGACTCTTAGGTTGCCAGTGTGATAGCTGTTTCAACAGTGAATACCAAACCTACATGAATTCTGATGGGTTGTATTGCAGGCATATAGGAATTGTGCATGCTTGAATTCTGAAGTCACCGATCAATGCAATCAGCATCCCCAGACCTCTAGAGATTTTTCTTAAATTCTTAAAGACTGGAGTTCCTTTCTCAGGACTTTCAACAAGTCAGTAACTGGAGACTAACTAGAGAGAGTAAAAACCAAACAACATAGTCCCACAGCTTCCAAAGCAGCACTGCCTCCTGCCTAAAAATCTAATCAAAATCAGTTCACATTTTGGTTTCTCTTTCTTTTTCAACATTCTGTATGGTTAGTTGGTCAGAACCAGTTTCTTGATTGAACAATTCAACATCCAACTAACTGCCAATCCCTGAGCATAACAACATCTTGGTGCCAGATCATTTATATCGTTCTTTGAGCAGTAATTAACCTGTCTTGCCTTTCCAAACCAGTTCCCAACAGGAACCATCAATCTTTTGTTTTTTTTTGAACAAGATGATGTTAAAAGTGCAATTCCTAACTGCAACTCAGTGCCAAACTAAAAATGAGAAAAAGGAAAGAAAAAGAATCGTGATCTCAACAACAAAACATAACTTATTTTAACTGATTTTATAAGATGAAATCCAACTAAGATAGTTGAAAGCAGTGAATGACCATGAATGGATCAGGGGATAAAAGGACATAAGTGCATTGTACATTATTGCTAAGACAGAATATTACATGTCCTGCTTCAAAAATATGTAATCCAGTTAGTGGGGACACTATTGGGAGGCCAACTCCTCATCCAAGGAGAGACATGGGAATGTTTTGACTACGTTGAAGCTTGATGATGGAATGAAGAGAGTGCCTCTAATTAAAGCTTTTCTTTCACAGTGGCGTGATGACTTCATTAATGGATGGATAAAAATACCAGTTACACACGAAACACAAGAGGAATGCCTTGGTATGGCCGTGCTTGATATAATGAGAATAGCCAAGGAAAAGGACCAGTCACCTTTGGACATCTATCGCTCAACTAGGTAAGAAGTCAAACATTTTTAGTTGCTTTCTTCCAATTCCGTTAACTTTGCAAAGAATGGTAGACTAAAATGGTCAAAGCACTGGAGGATGCCAATCAGCCCATGTCAGTGGCAGCCCTTATCTTATTCCCCTGTCTTTCTCCAGGGTCCTGCAAAATTTTCTCTTCAAATAATCGAGATTTTCTGTGAAAAAGCACAATTGAATCTGCCATTACCACGTGCTCAGGCAGTGTGTGTTCCAGATTCTCCCCATTCACTGTTGTTAGTCCTCAACTTTTTTGTCTTTTTTTGGTTAGGATACTAGAGGTAGATATTCTGTACACAGGAGTAAGTTGTGATTTTCTGGTGGTTTAATTTTAGAGGTGCTTTACCATATTTGAATTCTTTGCAATCGGTGTATGCACATGTAACCAAAAATATGCTAACTGGAATTCATCCCCAGTTAACACAGTGTGCAGGTAAACAAAAACAAAATAAACTTCCCAAACCCAACATGAATGGATCCACAAGGATCCATTGAATATCAACCCCAAATCCTGAGCCAGAACTCTATACTAATGTACTCATCAAGACTGTGTCTAGAGCAGGGTTCAAACAGTGCACCTTCTGACTTGGAAGCAGGATTGCGACCCTAACAAATATTCGCTCATGATGTGATTCTTGTGAGTTGTGGCTTTTATAGTAACATCCTAGTCCTACACAGTGACAATTTTTTTAGGACTTTGGACTTGAAAAACAATAATGAGTTTATTTACCATTAGCCGATAGCCAATTTAACTGTTGAAGATTTTTCAGAGAATTTGTAACTTGAGATAGTTGATATTTGTACCAATAATTGCATTGTTTCAATTCCAGTTACAAATCGTTCTTGCCGAAAAATATTCGTCTACAGATCCAAAATTACCACTTTGTAACAAGGAAGCGGATCCGATTCCGATTTTACCAGTTTATCCGGCAATTCAGCCAGTGCAATGCAAGTGCCCGAGATTTGAAGTTGAAATATTTGATTAACATGGAAACTCTTCAGCCTGCCTTTTTCTCGGAGTATTTTGAAGTGAAGGAGCCAGTACAAGGACCTTCAGGAGAAGATGTGTTTACAACGATTGTTGTAACTGGAAACGGAGGCATTCAGTGGATGAAGGGAAAATGTAAAGACATCGATTCTCAACCTGATCAGGTAATAGCCGTAATGATTTAAGTACTCCACTTATAATGTTTTGCAGCTTTTAAAGTTGAGATATTAAAAGGGTCAGCGCAAAACGGTTACATCTGTTAATGCACTTGTATAAAAGTTTAGTTCTTCAGCTTTCTTCACTGAATACATTAATTTAATTGGTTGCCTCATGCAGATTATGAAGGTTTATGTGTAAAACATTACCATTTTTTGTACTCCATTGCCTGAGATTCAGTTGATTTAAAAATCCAGTGGGGTCTTGATTTATAAGTAGTCTTGAAAAGTCAAATTCATCTGGTTGAAGTTGAATCTTGTTTTGCATGAGTTGCTGTCCATTTCATTTGAACTTGTGTTTTCTTGTTATTCTAAAGCCACTAACTGCTATTGTTATCTGGTTCACTGTGTTACACCTGAAAATGTAGCATGTAGTCATTTGGATCAACTAGTTTCTGGTCCAAACACACCTTCTCCCCACCCTCTTTCATTCAACCCTATCTCTGTATCCTTTCCTTGGTTGTCTATTTTAAATGCATTTATGCCATTTGCCTCAACTATGGTGCTACTTGTCATAGCGAGTTTTGTATAAACAAGTTTGTGGAGTGCCCAACTGGATTTATTGAAACTATATTCTATTTATGACAGTGCTTCCTCTTAGCTTTGCATCTATGCAACAACAAGAAGCCAATCCTTTAAAATCTTGAGCAAATTTTTAATGGTGTCATGTACGTAAATAAATCACTGAAAAAAATATTTGAGGGACTGATGAGCTATAGTTTCTTGCAAGTAGAAATATGTTTTGTATGTTTGGCCTATCAATTCCATTCATTGTGTTGTTGTAGTGTGAATAATTTCTCAGTCTGTACAGTTTGGTGTATAGTCAGGTTCACAGTGGTTGATATTAGGGCCACTACTTGTCTTGATGAGTATTAATGACCTAGACTTGAATAGCACAATTTTAAAATTTGAAGGTGACACAAAATTTGAAAGTATTGTGAGCAGGTCTGTGATAAAACTCCAAAAGGACGCAGACAGGCTTGTAGAATGGACAAGCACTTGGCAGATAAAGTTTAATGCCTGGAGTGTGAAGTGATCTATTTTAGTAAGAAGAATGAAGAGAGGCAATTGAAAATAAAAGATATTATTCTAAAGCAGGTGCAGTAACAAAAGGGATCTGGGTACATGTGCAAAAATTGTTGAAAATGACAGGACAATTGAGAAAGTGGTGAATAAGGCTTTAGAAATAGCGATCTGGAGTACAACCTTTTTGGACGTTCTGGTAAATCATTATAAAACACCAATTCAGCCTCTATCTGGAGTAAGGTACCCAGTTTTGGCCAACACAATTTCAGAAGGATGTGAATGCTTCTGGAGAGAGTCCAGAAAAGATTTAGGAGAACAGCTCTGGGACTGGGAGCTTCCAGTATCTGGATAACTTCAAGAAGCTGGGGCTGTGCTCTTTCAAGGAGGTAAGGCTGAGAGATGACTTGATAGAAACATCCAAAATAATGAGGATTCTCAACAGAATAGATAGGAAGAGACATTTCACATTGGTAGAAGGGTCCAGAACCAGAGCATCCGGACTGCAGGTGATTGGAAAATAAATAGTGGAAAGATGAGAGAAAGCATTTCTGACTAGTGAGTGCTTAGGATCTGGAATGTGCAACCTGAGTATGCACTGGAGGCAGATTCAACTGTGGCTTTCAAATGGGAATTGTATAATTAGCTGGATAGAATCCCTACAGTGTGGAAGCAGGCCATTTGGCTCATCGAGTCTACACCGACTTGCCAGAGAGCATCCCATCCTGATACTCTGCATTCCTGTAACCCTGCATTTCCCATGGCTAACCCGTCAAGATACCACAGGCAATTTAGCATAGCTAATCCTGCCTGACCTGCACACCCTTGAATCGAAAGAAATTGCAGGGTTACAAAGCAAAAGTGGAGGAAAGACAGTAGCTGAGTAGCTCTTTAAAAAGGGCACACAGACTCGATGGACTGAGTGGTTTCCTGCAATGCTGAAACAATTCTATGATCATTTTCAAGGCCTTTCTTGGGTCACTCCTCTGTCTTCCCTTTGCTAAAGAAGTGGAAACTGAGCCAGTTCAACCTTTCCTGATAAGTACGTCCTTTCAGTTTGGGTATCATCCTTATGAATCATCTTTGCTCCTTTTTCATGGCTTAATATCCTTTTGTTTTATAATCAGCAGTCACAACTGTACAGAGTATGCTAAGTGTCATTTAACCAAGGTTTCAAAAAAATCTCTCTTAGCTTCAAACAAAAAACTAAAAAGCTGGAAAAGATCAGCAGGTTTGGCAGCATGTGTATAGAGAGAAACAGTGAACGTTTCCAGTCCAACATGGCTCCTTTCCGGTAATCCTATAACTGACTTAAACTTCCCCACTTCTGAATTCTAATCCTCTAGAAATTAACCCAAATGCTTTTACTTTAAAAGATTTGTTTATTTTCACCTCCAGATCTGAAATTCTCTACCCATTTTAAGCCCTTATTTTCAGCTATGAAGACGTGTTGGTAAATACCATAAGAAATAGGAACAGGAGTAAGCTATTCAGTACCTTCAGCCTCCTGTGCCAAGGCTGATCCAATATTCCTCATGTCCACTTTTCCCTGTAACCCTTGATTCCCTTACTAATGAAGAATCTATCTATCTCAGCCTTAAATGTACACATACCTGCCCCCTTAGCTCTCTGTGGCAAGGGCTCCAAAGACACTTCAACATCTGAGACAAAATTTCCGCGTCATCTCAGTCTTAAATTGGTGCTCCTTTTATCCTGAGACTACACCTACTGGTCCTAGACTCCCCCAAGAAGGGTTACCTCCTCAGCATTTACCCTGTCAAGCCCCTTGAGAATGCAATATGTTTCAATAAGATCACCCCTCATTTTTCTAAATTCCAGTAAGTAGATTTGAGTTTTTTCTTTGCAACAGAGAAAGTTGAGGGGGAAATCTGATAGCGGTGTATAAGCTTATCAGGGGCATGGACAGGGTGGATTGAAAACAGCTGTTTCCCTTAGTTAACTGCTCAATAACAAGGGAGCACATTTTTACGGTGAAGGGCATGAGTTTTAGAGGGGTGTTGAGGAAAAATGTTTTCACCAGAGGATGATGGAGGTTTGGAATGCACTGCCTGAGGATAATAGAGGTGGTAACTTCACAAACTTTAGAAAGTACTTGGATGAGCACTTGTCATAGCATTCAAGGCTATGGGCTAGAAAGCGCTGGAATGTTGGGCTCATGTAGATTTAGTGTAGTTTTGGCAGTACAGGCTCACTGGACTGAAGGGCCTCTACTGAATGATTCTATTTATGTAGTATGTGGCACCTTTAATCATCCTTTATGTGCTGAGACATATTCATCTATATTGAAATTTCTTTGTCAATTATATTCCCATTTTGCATGCTTTTGATGTGATCCTTTTTTGTCAGCTTCTTCATCTGTATTAACTATACTCCACTTAGGGGTATCATCTGCAAGTTTGACATCATACCTCCAATTCCTGAGTCCAGATTTTTTAATGTAATTGCGTTCAGAGCTCTTTCTCCACTGACTATAAGCCATCGTTGCCTGGTTTAAAAAACCATATTTGAAATATATTTCCTAAAATGTTTTGAAGTTTAGTTTCCTTAATTTTAAATGAGGTGGGGTCCTAATCTTATCCACTAAGATTGTTGTTCTTGACAATTACAAAGCCTTCCTCATATTTGAAACAAAGGACATGCATTGATCTGTTTCTTGTGTTTCTGGGAAGTTGTTAAGTGACCATTAAACAGCTTCCTGGAAGCAGGAGATAGAATGAAACCATTGCTATTCCTGAACTTGTTAAAAATGAGCTGGGAAAGTTGAATGTCTTTGTGTTTGGGCTGCACCAAAGGACAAAACACTAAACATTTATTTTTACTGTTAGTGAAATCAACTGTATGAAGCAATTTACTAGCTTTCTGAAGCATCATTGCTAGGATTTAACTGCTAAGATTATTAAACTTGTGGTCTGGAAATCCCTTAACAATTGAGGTCCCTGCCTCCACTTTCTAATTGCAATAAATTAATTTGCATATGTGAAGTTAGAAATATCAGGAAGTAAGTTTAGATTAGTGACTAATTCTGGTCATCTCAATTCTCTGAAAAAAGTTTAGCCTTTATGTTTGTCTCAATCGTTTTATCTGATTGGTGAAGGATAATTATATAGTTCCATTGGGGACAGTTCAGAGGAGGGTCATTAGATTGATTCCAGAGATAAGGGTTTATCTTTTATAGAAAGCTTGAACAGTTTAGGTATATTTCTCTGGAGTTTAGAAGAATGAGAAAAAATTTAATTGAGGTATACAAGATGCTAAAGAGGATTGACAAAGTAGACAGAGAGGATGTTTCCTCGTTTTTGAGCATTCTAGAGCAAGAGGTATTAGTTTTCAGATAAGGGTAGCAGATTTAAAATGAAGATGAGAAGTTGCTGTTCTCAAAAGGTCATGAACTTTTGGAATTCACCACCCCAGGGTGCGATAGTTGCTGGGCCACTGAGTGAATTTAAAGAGGAGATAGACAGATTTTTAATTAGTAATGTGTTAAAGGGTTATAAGGATCGGGCAGGAATGTGGTATTGAGACAGAGATGAGATCAGCTGTCATTGTATTGAATGGCACAGCAGACTCAAAGGGCTGAATTGCCTCCTCCAGCTGTTTATTTCTCGTATTTGTATGTTCCTAGGTAATACTGGAGACAAACTTTTTTATTTATTCTCTCATTGCAAGCAAAAACCTCCTAATGGAATTGCACACTTCTCCAGCCCCTGATGTGCCCACCCGTCACAGAAGGCCTCAAATGTACCAGTGGACATAGTGTATTCCCTCTCCACGACCACCAAATATAGACATAACCACAGAGAAGAGGTAGGATGTTGGGTTTAATGACCACCCCTGAATGGTCAGCTTAGCCAGGATCAGGAGCAGACCTACAAGGAGGCAGTCTGATTTGCGTGGCCCCCTCAGCA